TTGAGGGCTACAACTTGTAATAATAACAAAAATAATAAGTCCGAAATGCTTCTGAGTACCACCCAAATCATAAGTCTGAAATGCTTCCGATGCTCATCAAAATCCAAAGCTCATATGGTGCCAAGCAAAAGGAAATCAAAATCAAAATCTCATATGGTGTCAAGTAAAAGGAAATCAAAATCTACAACTTGAGTTTGAACATTGATATGATATGTTCAGTTGTTATCATGTTGGGATTTTCTCTTGTGTTTGATTTTTTGGATAGTTGTTCTCTTGCTTCTTCAAGTGTCCTTAGCTTGTATTTATAGCTTGGAATGTGTTTGATGTTGTATATACCTTGATGTTGTATGTTGCGATCAACGCGAAAGTCAAATTCGCAAACCGAAAATCGCGTTGCGAATTTGTACCTTCAACATGTCTTTTTTGCCTTCAAACATAATGCAGATTGAATTTTTTAGAAACAACAAATCAACTTTTACAAATCAATTAAACAAACAAAAAAATAATTCTTATTTACAAATCAAATTAAACAAATCAACTTTTACAAATCAACTTTTACAAATCAATTAATCAAAAAATAAATCTTATTTCCTCATCAATTAAACAAATCAACTTTCAATGTAAAATTCAATTAAACAAAGAAAAAAAAGTGTACCCGAGACTGTTGTTTATGCACAAATACATTTCACGCAGCTCACTTCAGGATTAACCTGCAGAAACCAAACATTTGCTCAAACAACACTTTCTACACATCTAAAACCAACAAACAAACAAATTACTCTAGGTACTTAACCAAATATTTTCAAACCAATTAAAGAGTATATATGTTAACAACACTTGCTCAAACTTACCAAATGTTTATGTACAACTTTCAGCACGCGGATGCAGGTAGACAGCGTCTCGCATATATCGATCTGGCCATATAATACCGAAACCACAAGCCTACTGTAGCTCTATATCTATATGTGGGAGGTAGATATTGTATACTTCCTGTCGTCAAACATTCCAAGCACAAGCATACGAGAGGACCACAATCCCCTCTGGCTCCCTACGTTTGTTGTGGCGCAGTCTCGCCTCTGATCATTATAATTTTGAACTTCTTTGGCTTCTTGTTTCCAGAATTTGTCCAATAATCAATCGCATTCAAGTATTTAGCCAAATGATCGCTCCATCCCTTTGTAATAATATCTCTCAAATCAGACAATGGTATGTAATTCAACATGCTGTCATATACCATTGTCTTCAGGGATGGGAGCTGAAGCTCGACGAGAAGTCAATGATGATGTTCCAAAACAGGGATAAACACCTGCAATCATAAATAATTGCACACATCAAATAAAATTTATGAAAACCTTTAAAATATTCAAAAAATAAATACTAACCTTATCGACCTCCCACCACACAGGATAAAGTTTAGCTTTTTCATTAGCCAACTTATATGAAGCATCTCTTTGATCCTTCAAGTGAGCTGCGTGAAAAGACGTTGGCATAATAGTCAATCGAGTACCTCTTTTCTTCAATTTCCTTATTATTAGAAGACGTAACACCCATGCATCAATATGCTGTTTTATAAAAATAAATAAATATATTAGTGAATTTATTAATAATTTAAAAAAAATTAATCAAAATGCAATATAAGAAGAATATAAGACTTACCACCCCTTCAAGATAGCCATTATCTTCAACCCCTAATAAAACACCCCACCAAGACCGATCAAGAAACAAATGAATAGCATCGTCGATTTGGCATAGGTCAGAATAACACCCATTGCTCCGCTCATGTAGATAAAAATCAACTGCGGTCTTAGTCCAAAGGGTATTATCCGTAATTGTGTCCGGTAGTGTTTCCCTCTCCTGCTGAGGAATGGTACTGGCCGGTAACACATACGAAAGCCAACTCGCATCCATCATATCGGGCACGGGAGGGGGTTTATCAATATATCGACATATGACGCCATATGAATCGGGTTCTTGAACGGCGGGTGGGACCTCTTGAACGATGACGGGGGCCTCTTAAACGGTGGGAGGGGCTTCTTCGATGATGAGAGGGGCCTCTTGAACGATAGGAGGCGCCTCTTGAATGATGATAGGTGCATCGGGCTTCTTCTTACGGAGTCTTGGCACTAGTGGGGTGAACGGAGACGTAATGGCACGTGCACAACATCTGATGCGTGAACCCCATCATGTAAGAAAAACCCGACGTAAAACATTTACCTTATCAGGCCGCTAAAAATAAATTAATACATAAATCAGTAAATAAATAATGCCGAAAAAATGTTATTTGCATTTTTAGTATAGTATTAAACAAATTTACCTCATTGCGTAGAGTATGAACCTCATTCTACAACAATGAAACAATCTCACGTAGAGCGGCAACCTCATCACGTAAAGTAGATACCTCACCACGTAGCGCACCATTGTCATCGCGTAAAAAATCCACTTCACCACGTAAAGATCGAACCTTATCACGCCATGCACTATTATCTTCACGTAAAGTACCGACTTCATGACGTAAAGCACCGACCTCATCACGTAATTCCTCTAACTCATCCCGTGGAGGTGGAGAACAAGGAGATAAATATCGTGGCCTCTTTACCGGTCGCCTATCATGAGGTGATGGTGGAGAAAATGCTCGATGATGTGATAGAATAGGTGATGGTGGAGGTGGAGAAGAGGCTCAATCAGGTGATGGCTCCAGGTGTCGAGCTGTAGAATCGGCCCGATCAGGTGATGGCTCTCAAAGTGGGGGGTGCTCATCATCCGTCCATCAAAAAACCGCTTACTAGCTTGCCACCAATCAGTGGCAAGCTCAGCCTCTGTGGGTGTCAGCCTCTGTAATGGATAGTTGGCCTCCTAACAATATAAAATCTCAAACAAAGCTAAACTTGTACTAGTAATAACTTGTTTATATATACCATATATTATTTGTGTGTTAACTTACATCATTCATCGTCGTATATGGGAGTAAATCTTCCCAATCCAACATGCAGATCCTCTTCTAGGTAATAGCCCTAGGAATATCATTTGATCTTTTTATCGCATATGTCCGCATGCTGGGGAAAGCCTCAAATATCCAAATCTACAAAATAATATAATACACAAACATTAGTAATTGTTAAATAATTAATTATAATTTTGGAAACATTATATAGAAATTCTTACCTTAAAGGCCAAAGTAAAGCCTGTCAAAGTGTATTTAGAACCATCGCCCCGCAAACTTTTTCGGTCCTCAAAGGCAGACAACAACTTCTTCCAGGTAGCTTTCCATAGATATGAACCCCACGGAAACAGGTTCCATGCATTTAGGTCCTCTACCAATAATATTAGGTCCTCGGAGATTGGTTGTCTGCCCTCTTTGCCTAAAAAGCCAGCATACAAAAGTAATAAATGGCATACTCGGACAACATCAAGGTCATCCATCTGAGTAAAACCATCTTTATCAAATAATCTCTTCAAGTTGTCGACGTGTATACTCGGCTTCGACTTTGCCAGCTCAGGAAAAACCCGATATAACCATGATGGGCGGGCGATATGACTAGTGTACCAACCTACATCATCGTGTCCGAAGCATAGACTGGTGATTAAGCAAAACTCCTCCCGCCCAAAACAAGTATACGCCGGTGCTGGAGAAAAATGAAACCATATCTCCTCATCACCACGTTGTACCCCCTCGGGTAGATCGTTAGTCATGGTCTGAAGAAACAAATGTGTCAACATAGCATCTCCACCCGTATGTTGCACTTTCAGCCATGGCCCGAAGCAAGTATCCTCAAACAAATTTCTTTGTAGAGGTGTAAGCGTCGACGCAATTTTAGTGGAGAGGCTTAATTTATTCCTTAAGGTTAATGCAGCCGATTTTTTTTTTTACAAAAACAATAAACATACTAAGTTAGATATACCAAAAAACTACAAATTATACACTATAAACAGACATGATATTAAACAGTGAAAACAAAGCCAAATATGTTTCAAAGTAGCACGGTATTCACCCAAGTCATTATTCCATCATAGTTCACAAAATGCATCAGATAACATTCCGGAAGTAAGCACTTATATAAACATTTAAAAGGACAACATATAGGTTTAGTGTAGGTTCAAGGACAACATAAAGAGTAGTAGTTTATTCTTGAAACTTAAATTAGCAACACTGTGAAGTTAATATTTGTCTTTGTTTTTTTGTTGAAGAAATGCAATTCATTCAAGTTTCAATTTGCAGAATAAAAGAAGTTTCTGAAACTTAAATTCGCAACGCGAAAATAAAAATCGCAACGTGATTTTAGTTTCGCATTGCAAATTTGGTGTTGTGATTTAGGGTTTCTTCAACAAAAAGACAAATACTAACTTCACAGGGTTAAAAACTAAACAGTTTAGCAGTATTGACATCAACCGAATGAATTTAATAATCTCAGTGAAATAGTTAATCTAATAATAATACAAAAATTTTAAAATAAAAATAATTAAAAAACTAACCCTCGGTGGTTGATTTTCCATTTCTGACCGTGAATGGTTGTAAGGGTTGCTCTGAGAGATGGAGATAGACGGATTTCGTCGGAAATGGGGACGGATTTCATCGGAGATGGGGACGGATGTCGCCGTAGAGAGTGAGAGATGGAGATGGGATTGAGTTGTGCTTTAGGGTTTTAGGTTAGAGATGATTTGCGATAATATTGTTTATATTTGTGTTGCGAAATTAATATTGTGTTTCGCGTAAAAACATTTGACTTTCGCGTTGCGAATTTGACTATCGGCGAATTTGACTTCTGTGTTGCGATTTACAAATTCGCGTTGCGAAATTGGAAACTAGGTTGCGAATTTGTTGGTTATTTTGACAAATCCAAAAAAAATTGGTTAAATTCGTATATTATAAGACATTTTTGATCACTGATGTTATTTTTTCTTTTTAATATAGTGATTTTTTGGTCAAATTGCCAAAACATAAAGACTAAAAAATATTCGTACTTATTTCTGTATTAATCCTATTAAAAATGTATAATATTCTCATCCTAACGTGCTGAAGCTGAACCAAATACCTTGAAATTCGAAAACTTTGTCGTCTGAAGACGTGCAAACAGATGAAAAAGAAGCTAAATTAATAAATATTCTTCAACAAAGGAAATAAACTGTCGGAGCCCCTAATCAAAATACCCGAAGCTGGAAAGTTTCAGGCGAAGAAATTAGCAGCAGCGAAAAAGAAGAAGATGTTGTTTCAAGTGGCAGGACAAGGGACTCGTCCAACCTTCTTTGAAATGGCTGCAGCTCAGCAGCTCCCGGCTAGTCTCCGTGCAGCCCTTACTTACTCAATTGGGGTCAGCCTCTATCTGTTTGTCTTTTCGTTTGAAAAAAGAAGCTTTTTTTATATATATTTATGAAATACCCATTTTAATTTTCCTTCTTGATTTCTCAAATTGTTTAATTTTGATGTAAAATTTGCCTATTCAATTAGTGGGTCAATCTTGGGTTTTCGTTAAGATGAATGGAATGAATTGATTGTTTTAGTTTAGTGCCTGGGGAGCAAGCTTCGGTTTTTAGATTGATTATAGTTTTTTATTTTCATATTGCTTCAATGACTACAGTTTTGTATCGATTTAATTAATGTTATAATAGCTACTGGAGATTAAATATTTTGAGTTTTATTCGTGAATTGATAGGTACTGGCATTGAGACGACCAATTCTGCATAAGGTGTTAGACTATGAAGATGAATTCTATGCTTTGCTGATGTTGGTTCTTGAGACGCATAGCTTACGAACTACAGGTTTCCTTCTGCTTTGATTTTCTTTTATTTACTTTATTACCTAAATCTCTTTTATAGGTATTTTTGTTCAGCATGTTTTTGAATCTTCCTATTTCACATTCTAGATAGTGTTTTATATACCCCGGTTTTAGTTTTCTTCCAAATTACGTGTTCTTCTAACTTCAACGTTCTCTCGGATTTCACTCGTTTTGGTTGTTGTGTTCAATTTATGTGTGGAATTATATTAGTTTTCAGTTGTGCCTCTGTGAACTATGGATCTGTTTTGTTGCTTCTGTGATATGAACTCAAAAGGAATTGCAGAGGATTTTATTGAATTCTCAAAGATAGTAGCAGACTTAGAAAAATAGAGAAGAGAAGAAGCAAATAGTTCTTAACAGAATGCATGAATAACCCCTCATTACCCTTTCCCATCTATAATACCCAAACATGCATAACTAACTGTACATAGTCAGCAAGCCCCCGTGAATGATGCCTCTCATGTGCACTCTTCCTCGGCTGACTTGGCTCATGCTGAAGTGGCAGCTGACTTGGCATTGAATTCATAACATTCTGTGTGAAATATAATGTAATCTTTGATAGTAGAGGAGGTGTTGAAAATTGTTCTATATGTCTTCATTTTGTTCACCCATTGAAATTCATTACCTTCCATATGAAGATGTTGAATGTCAAGATTGTAGGGTGTAGAAGAATAAGCGGAAACGAAATCATGTATGGAAATTTGTGGTAATGTAGTTAATTCTGGTTTTTTCAATGTGATATGGAGAAACTTAAATTTCATAGCTTGACTATGCTCCATGATCTTACTTGTCCAAAATGAGTTGTAGCAGACCAGAATTAGATCTATCATACAGGACACTTTTTTTTTCCATTAGTTAAACATTAATGAACCTTAACCAGAAGCCTAGAACTGCTTGCAGAAGGAGGTAGCACCACATGGTCTTCCCCCCCCCCCCCTTTTTTTATAATTTTTTCCCCTGAGAAAACATGGTCATTTTATGTATATGAGAAAGTAGAGAAGCTATCGTTATTAGCACTTTATGGAATTCAGCATCTTTCTAGGATGTTTCTTATTTTGGAAGCTTATAGTAATGCCCATTATATGTTGTTTGCACTGTTTGGGTGTCAATTTTAATTTAATTTTGTTAGTTGCAGTTGGAAGATGTATGTTTGATTAGATGAGACTCATTTTTCTAATATAACATTCTTATACAGATGCTTCTTTTGCTGAATCTCTATATGGCTTGCGGAGGAGAGCAGCAAAAATAAAAATAAAACAGGCTGACATTCGATCGAAAACTAGTGATGGGATCCAACACTCTAGTCTAGAAAAGCGTCAAAGAGTTCTCTCAGTTGTATTTTTGGTAGAATTCTGCATCTTTTTTTCTTAGTTTTTTTCCTTGTTAAGATCTTTGATGAACCTTATTAGTTATGACCAAATAATCTATGGAAGTTCTTCCGTATAAGCGTTTATATTTTTGTTGAACATTACTCTGGGGTATTGGCAGTGTGAACTCATTTACATGCTCTATCGCCAGTTCCCCTTATCCCCTCCTACAACCTTTGTTGGATGCAGAAGTAACCTCTGGTTTGCAATGTCTTTCTAGGTTGTTTTGCCATACCTTAAGTTAAAATTGCACTCAATTTATAACAAAGAAAGGGAAGCCAGGCTTCAAGCAAGTTTATGGGGTCCCGGTGATGAAAGATTTGAAGATATCGACTCTTTTGTTGAAGGGGAGGCGTCTATTGCTTCAAGAACATCAACTGAAGCAGAAACAACAATAAGAACACAATTGGCAAAGAATATTCAGAAAATTATGGGCTTATGTTATCCATGGATACATGCTACCACTGAAGGTGTGTTCAGATCTAAGTAATCATTTTATATCAATGTTTTCAATAATGAAGGCAATTTATTAATCTAATCATTGTTCATGGACTACCTGTACCATGACCTAAAGTGGAACTTGTGATTGAGAAAGCTAGGGGTGTGCAATGATATGTCATGATCACCAATTAATAAGTACAAATTTAACTTGTGGTTGCCAACCATGGAGCCTGTGTCTTCATATTGTAGGGTTTCTGATTTTCCGCAATCATATTTATATGATTCCTTGAAAGAGCTTTGAATGACAATTATCTGTTTTTGACCATGCTTTGGTTGGAACTCGAGATACGTGCTTTAATCTAATCTTGACTTTTGTGGTGCAGGACTAACATTTACTTATCAACTTTTATTTCTGCTGGATGCAACTGGGTTCTATTCTGTTGGATTACATGTTCTTGGGATTCATGTTTGTCGAGCAACTGGACAAGAATTGGTATCAGATTCAACAATAATTTATGTTCTCTAATTGCATGTTTTATAATTTACACTAATATACATGGTGCAGTATTTTTGTTGCTTCATGCTTTTTCCACACCCTATTCACCCGCATAACATGCACACTTCTGCATTTTGCTCTTATTTATATGATATATGCACACATACTCAGTATACTTATTTTGATGTCAAGGTAGATGAATACTTCCTCTAGAATTTCCAAAATTCGAAGTCGTGAACGTGAGAGGCTTCGGGGGCCTCCATGGGTAAAGGTATGTTTCTCTAGATGTTTTAGTTAGGATTGTTAAGAGTTTTTACCAAAATTGTTCATCTGACTTTAGCTAATGTTAAAGTTACCATACTCAGACAACATAATTCCTGCAGGCGGTACAAGGAGCTTTGCTTAAATGTGCATATGTGGTGCTGGACTATGCACAAACTGGTTTAATCGCCGCAGTATTCATCTTTAAAGTAAGTGTAGTTTACTTGTGATCAAATTTATCACCCTTTGGGTTGAGGGATGCTATATTATCGCTAACTAATAATAAATATATCTGAAAAACGTAATATATGCAAAATATTTACGGATATTAAATTTTTCTAAGCAAAAATCTGCAACTGCTGGACCAAACTAAACTAAACCAATGAGTTTCGTATTTGCTTTAGGCCAAAACAGTGAGCCCTACCTGTATGTCGTGATGACTCGTAATATTCTTTTATAGGTTCTTTTCTTAAACTCATGTAGTGTTGCTTAACCTTCATCCACTTTCCTGGATTTCTATTTAACTTGGTAATAAAATTAAACTAGATGCTACCATTTATGTTTAGTAATTAATATCAATAAAACATGACAATTCTTAACATTGTCACCCATTCCAAAGTTAATAGTTGTATGCTAACTATTTTGTGCTATTCTTTTTTTCTCTTGAAACCTTTATTTTCCTGTAACATTCAATTTTATTTCTGGAAATAGTAATGGAATTTGTTATGATTTCCTTTTCCACAATCGTAGATGATGGAATGGTGGTATCAATCTGCTGAGGAGAGAATGTCAGCTCCTACTGTGTATCCGCCTCCTCCGCCACCGCCACACCCAATGGTGAGAAATTCACCTCTCTGCCTACTCACATCTGCACACAAACAATTCCACATAATTATGAAGACCATATTCATTTTAAGAAAGTGGAGAATGATTACATATGTTTCATTGTATAATTTTATGGATATATTAAATTAGTGATATTCACGAAGGATATGGTGGCATTGTTTCTTTTATTGCATTGGTCATAAACTATGCAACCGTTTGACGATTTTGGCAGAAGTTTCTATTTTATTAAAAAAATATCAATAAAAAATAGAAGAAATAAGTAAGGGCAAGCTTTTGTAACCCTGTTGCTCAACCAAATATTTCACTTATAATCTATGTAGGTCGCCAAAGACGGGATCCCCTTACCACCTGATAGAACAATCTGTCCATTGTGTTCACAGAAGCGTGCAAATCCATCTGTAGTTACAGTTTCAGGATTCGTCTTCTGCTATGCTTGCATACACAAGTACGTTTCTCAGGTAAGGCCTTCAAACCCTATTTGGTGAACCAAATGATAATTTTCTTTTCAAAGTTCATATATATTTAATCTTTGGCTTTTCAAGGACACCCACTTCTTAAAACCAAAGTTTTCGTGCATTTACAGATTTAGTTGTTTTTACTAGTTTATAAATACAGATTGTTATAAGCTTAGATCATGCAAGGTACAGTGAAAAGAATCATGCCTGCGTAAAATTAGACTATCCATGTTGATTTTCATCTTTAGTTCTAGTAGGTTTTTTTTTTCTTTTTAAGCTTGAATCACTTATTTGGCTTGTTCTGTATTTCATTGTCACAGTATAAGCGCTGCCCAGTCACATTAATGTCAGCAGACATCGACCAGATAAGGCGGCTCTTCCATGATATGTGATATCCTTGCCGGATATTTTGTATGTAAATTAATCCATGATAGTGTATGTGAAGCTACCAAAGGACAAGAGAACCAAGACGAGTACAACGAAAATAATGTAGGGAATTCTTTGTTTTCATGACATTCTGTTGCCATTGTTTCTGGCATTTTCGAAAGATAATTTTATGCAAGCATTTAGGTAGGCTTGAAACTACAAACATCCAAACATGGGCAGTCACCATTTGTACCCCAAACCAAATCAATTTACAGTAAATCTTTAACATGTACCACATTAACATGTTATTTAATGATAGGCTAGGGATCCATTAGCACAAAAATTGTTCAATAATCATATTATTTTGCCATTCAAGCAGCTCAAATTATGTAGACAAGCTAAACAAGACAGGCTCACCATTCAAACCAGGAATCAATTAGAGGGAAATCCAGGAGGATGTTCAATTCTTCACTAAATCTAATGCTTTCACACAATAAAACAAATCAAGCAACAAAAATGCATATCAACAGAAACATTCATGTGAATGCAGTAGAGGCCTGCCTATACTCCTGCAGCCCCTATATCCAAAGCTCTCTCCAATCTTGCCTCAAATGGTATAGCATTCCATTTCGTTCTCTGTTCCTGCAGAACCAAACTATTTATCCTTCCAACATATATGTGTAAAATGTATACATGAAAATCAAATCAAAAACTCAATTTGTATACCTGAATGTTTCTGCTCCTTGTTCTCGGTGTTCCTTTGCGTGGAGAGCTTGAATCAGCATTGACTATCTGGCCGGTATGATTCCAATAGCTCCCGACAGTTCCGATGATAGGTGTTTCATCCGGAATCTGGCTCCTGCACTTTTTGGAAGAAGTAGATGCAGAATGTTGTTTAAGCTCTTCTTGCATTAATGCTCCTAAAACAGGCCTATCTTCATAGCTTCTAGGTGAATTTGTCTTCAGGGATGCTGCTGAATTCCCAACTGAATTAGTACTACCCTTTGAATTCGGTGTGTTTTCAGGTCCCATTAACCAGCTAGAAAGACTAGTATCAACATCAATTTCTTGCCCTACCAGCTTCTTGCCATTGGAACATAGTCTCGAACTCGAAGTTCGGAGCTTAAAATCAGAACCTTGCTCCACATTAATGTTCTCCTTTTCTTCATCCTTCAATGGTATGCCTGCTTTTGCTTTCACTCCTTTCCATTGAGCAAGATTTTCAACAGGATTCAAAACTGATTGTACACACTCATCACCCTTAACTCCGGCATCTCGATTTAACAAGATCGGAATCGGACTATTAACTTCCTTCTCATCTGATTCAACTTCACAAACATGTTTCCTGGACTCGATCGACAACGAAAACAGCGACTCAGATGACTCTTCTATGTCCAATTGAAGCTCATTTTTAGCCTTTCCAATGCCATTGTCATCCTCATTGACTTCCTTTGTTTCTAAATCCAAATCTTTCAATTCATCCCCACTTTCTTGACTGTTCTGATATCTATGGTTTTGAGACTCACAAACCACAGCCCAAGCACTCAAATCCAAAACAGAAGATCCACTTCCTTTAACTATTCCTTCGATCTCCTTATTTTCCTCATTTGTCAACGACTTATCAGATGATTGTTCAACATATAATTCTTCATGGGTCTCCACATTCAAATCAAAAGCTACCTTCTCTTTATCACTGTTGTTCTTCAATAGCTCCCCTAGCTTCTCTCTACATGAATTGACATGAAACAAGAAACTCAACACATGCATGAATAAACATTAGTAATCAAGAAAAATAAAGGCCTGAAACTGGACTGCCATTACTTACTTCTTCACTATGATTGGGTTAAAGGGTTTCCAAAAATCTTCTTCCTTACTACATCGAACAGCTTCATTGGCTTCGGGTTTCTGGGTTGAACAAATTTATTCAAAAGAAGAAAAATCCAAAGAATTATATACGGTGAAAGTGGAGAGAAAAGCTCACCTGATCAATAGAGGAAGCCCCATCGACCAAATGCTGGTGTTTTTTGTTATTGGAAGCAGAAAAACAAGAGAAAAAAGAGCAACCCATTATTAGCCTGGTTGACTTCTTTCAAAAAAGTTCACTTTAATGTATCTTTTTCAACACCCGTTGAAGAAAACCGTCTTCTTGGCGAGTGAAAGATAAGAGAAAACCAATGGAAGAAAGAAAATTGAGAAACCGGTCAATGAATTTGAAGAAGATAAAGACTTGAAAAATATGACCGTTACTGCTTGTGGGTTTAATTATTTCCCAGTCCCTGTACTCTTCTAATGTTCTAGAGTTTAATCCCTCTACTTTTAGTTCACATTGATAGTATGGTTAATGAATTCCCTTCAAATTTAAATGCTTTTAAATATTTTATTTATAAATTAAAATCAAACTGAAAGAATATATTCAAGTTAAAAATAAATAAATCAACAATTTTATCAGTTGGATTTTTTTTTAAATCCAACAAGAAAAAAACACAATATGGAATTAAAAATAAACATGATAAATTTTGAAGGTCTAAAGAGTAAAAGGGAGTGGAGGCATAATTAGACGTTTGAAGTGAAGGCAGAGATTTGACAGAGATTAATGCAACTGTTGGCTTTTCACAATTATGGAGATTTTTAGGTACAACACATCTAATATACGACTAAGGAAATATATTATCATAAATGTTAATATTTTTTTAATATTTTCGATAAATTATTACCTAGAATATTATTTTTTCTATCAGAAATGTTAATATTAGGTTCTATCAAAAATTAGTTAGTGAAATTAACATTTCCGGTAAAAAATAATGTTTTAGGTAGTACCTTACCGAAAAATGTTAAAAAATATTAACAATGAGATATTTCCTTAACTGTATATTAAAAATACCGTACAACACAACTACACCTATTATTGAGAGTTCTTTAAATTTCAATTTTTGTGTTCAATAATGGTGAGATTTGTAGGGTAAAGGCAATAATAGTGGATCTTATCTCTATGAAGTTCTTCAATTATTGTTACCTTTTTGTTTAGGAACCCTTTATTTACGGAATTTGTTTTTGATATCTTCATGATTATTTTTATTTTTCATTTTTACAAGTTCAAGCTAAACATATATAATATCAAAATAAAATTTTGGTTGAATGAGTGAAGTAATATATAAACTTTCAATTAGTGTAATTTTACACGTAAAATTTTGATTTTAGTGTAAAATTTTGGTGGAGGTGGAATTTATAAACCCTCAATTAAAAGAATTATATTTATAGAAAATAAAAAATATTTTAAATATGTTATAATAAATTCCTAATTTCACTTCTGATTATTGTGATGGATATATCAATTAAATATCAATCAAATAAGATGATCATTGAAATGAACAAAACATTTCCGACAAAAGGTCATTACACCAGCAACTAAGATGATCGTGATTGAAATAATGAATTGTTTAGATCCTTGAATTGTATGACCATTATTAGTTGTTGGAAGACATATGTGATCAAGGTTGAAATCATAAACCTTGTAGAGGCAGCTATAAGTAATACCAAACCATTTATAAAAATAAAATAAAATATTGCTCCTTAAAGTGTCGGAGTTAAAAGGGTTTTTCTTATTAATCTCGGATAAATATACTGCAATATTTATTTAAATATAACTTTTAATCATTTGACATTAAACGCATACGTCCTTGGCATTTTTGGCACTCAAACTCAAGATTTCAAAGAATAACAATAATTCTTTTACCGTCAAGGTTGCTTAGTTCGTACCGAGTTAAAAAGCGTTGAGAATGAAGAGAATGTGAAATCACATTAGACAGTTGCTCTTGAGCACATGATTTGTGCAACCAAAACGTGAAGGTTTACCAACCATCAATTTGCTGATTGATAGCAATAAGTTAATAGATTGACCAATAATGAAGTTAACACTTTTTCTTCTAACTTGGAAGGGGGATAGTATCTTTGAGGTCACTTTGTATTTTATATTTCCAATTTGTTGTTGCATTGTGTTATTATCTCAATTTGATGTTGCATTTGTGTTATTATCTCAATTTGTTGTTGTATTTGTGTTACTGTTAGAGATAGGCACGAGATCCAAATTCAACGGCTTTCGATCCCATCCAATATTGGATTGAGTTTAAAAAAATTGAGTTCGGGTTGAATGTTTTAGATGATGTGTTTGGATCGGGTCAGATTCGAGTTTAGGATGAAAAATATTTGATCTAATTCGACTCAAAAAATATAATTTTACTTTATATATTTAGAGATAATTGCAATAATTCTCCTCTCTATATTAAATTTTCAATTATATCCCTAATTTTATTGAATGAAATTAATATTTTACAATTATATTTATTTTAGGTTGAGTCGGGTTAGGTTTGGGTTTTATCTCAAAAAAGCGAGTCTAGTTCAGATCAGGTGAAATAACTCTAAATTTGGTTTAGGTTAAGTTTCGAGTGGAGACTATATATTTTTCAGATCGGATTAGATTGGATTGGCCGGAAACCTGATTCATACTCATCCCTAGTTATTATTATTACTAAAAATATACGCACTCACCTAATGAGTTAAAAAAATATAAATTACTAAATTATATTAAAAATATTTATATTACAAAAATAAATTATATAAAATTACAAATATTTTTAGAAAATTAATTTTTTTAATGAAAATTACTTGTTAGTAAAAAATTAAATTGTTATCATAAAATTTTAAATTTATTGTAAAATAAAAAGAAGGAAGCAATAAAAAATAAGAAAAGTAAGAAGAGAATATAATGGGGAGAGAAGTATGTGTTATTTTCTCAATGTGAATTATGTATGTTTTCTCTAAATTTTATATTTATAGACATAAGAAATATATATTATATAGAATTATAGTCCTAATAGATATTAAAATCCTAATAATAAAATACATCAATACTATATTTAACATATATTATTCTAATCATAATAAACATTCACATAAATAACTATTTATAACAAAATTTATACTTTTTATTTTGTATTCCAAAATTAAATTAGTAGATCATTATTGGAGAATGATAAAAGGATTGTATATAAAATATTTTTAGATAAGATTTGTATATAAAGTTAACTCTAATTATATTTTTAAATTTCAAATAATCTTTTTAGTTATTTTATTTAAATGTTTATAAAATTATGAAAAAGATAAGAGAACTCCTATTCTTGTTTCTTACATTTTAGTTAAAGAATTTTAAAAAGTACTTT